GCAGTGGGTTGCCATGGGCTTCCATGTGTAGCCAGCAGCCAGTGTGAGTGGCCAGCAGCCACAGTGAGCGGCCGTCCAGAAGCCGGCGACTGATCTGCCTCACCCGGAACGAGCGCAATGATGGTGCCAACTTGGGCCAATGAAGCAACGTCCTCCACAACTAGACTGAGAACAAAACAACAGCAACTTGTCTCTTCCCCTTCCCCAGTTTCCCAGCACTGTTCCCATCCTCCAATTCCCCAATAAAAAATCTTAAAAAAAAAGAAACACAATTGGATTTCTTGCATTGGTTGTTCACATTATTATGTAAAGCTCATTTTCATGGGGATACAGAGTAGGTTTTCTTTACCCCCAAGGTCTATGTAAAATAGATTTCATCTATTTGGAGCATTTCTATAACACTATCCTTCATATTTGAATCTTCATCACATATTTTCTGGTGGAAAAGATTAATAAAATGTTGTTATAAAATCAAACTGAACTACCAATATGGAAGATATTTTCTTGCAAGTTTATTTTCTTGAATTTTTAAAGATTATTTTGCGTAGAACTTAATTGTGCTTCTGTGTCCCCTTTTTTTATATGATGAATCCATAAATACCAGATTTAAAGTTCCTGTCAGGAAGGATTATTTTTAGGTCTGCCTTAAGAACAGGGAGGGTAGAGAAGAGAGAGTGAAAGAGAATATCCACACCCATAATTGATGACTTTGATAGTGATCTGGGAATAGAGGGAAATATAAATAAAATTAAAAGATAATCAGTCTATGACCTAAATCTGTCTTTTTGGGTTTATGTTATTTCTAAAATATTAATAGCAAAAATACTAGTCATAGTTTCCTAATAGTCTTTTCTTTTTTCGGGGGGGGGGTTGTTTTTTTATTTTTGTTTTTGTTTTTGGTCTTCTGTCTATCCTAAAAATGCACCCAGGAGATAAAAAAAAGGTCCTTGGAAAGGATCTTAAATGAAAAGAGAGCATAAAAACAGTAAATCAGATGTCTGAGAATTTTCCCATTTGTTTTTAATGGGCCATGTGGATGATAGGTGTGTCCACATGGGAGCTTCAGTTCTATATAAACGAGTTGTCCTGTTTTCAGTGCATTGGAGTTTTCTGGCTTCCCCATGCCCAGGAAGTTATCGGCTTGGAGAATTGGTCCTTTTGTTGGTGATATGATTTAATTTTAATTCTAAACACACCGATCCTTTCCATACAAAAAGCTCAACTACAGGTTGGTAGGATGAGTGAGTCATACAGGCTCTCTTGGGTCGTATGGATAACACCACCAGAAAATGACAGATATAGAAGAAAGAAATAAAGAATACTTTAAAAAAACAAGGTACTTGACTTGGCAGGAGGACAGAGACGAATCAGAGTCCTAGAAATGATGCCATGAAGCTAAATTATTTAAATAAAAGAATAAAAGGAAAAAGAAACTTGGTTAGTCTACATCATGTATTTTGATCTTTTTATGGCCTGTCAGTGTTGTTTGCCATGTTGATTTTTAGTTGAAAAGATGTTGGATACAGAATATGACTTCGCTGCATGATGTGTTAACAGTGGTCTCTGGTATTTAATATGTACAGCCTGACGTGTGTGGTGGGGGTGGGGTGGGGCGATTGTGATTATCAGGAGCCTTTCACAAAAACAATCTTCTTTCTTGGGTTTCCAGATTTTCACCTGATGGAAGGCTAATTGTATCATGTAGTGAGGATAAAACTATTAAAATTTGGGATACCACAAATAAGCAGTGTGTCAATAACTTCTCAGATTCTGTAGGGTAAGTCCATTCTATTTGTGCATTTATATAGGGTAGTGTGCTAAGGGGACATTTAATTATTACAATTTGAATAAAGAAATGAGTAAAGAAATCAAAATATTAGACCATCTTATTCTTTCCTCCTAGGTTTGCAAACTTTGTGGATTTTAACCCTAATGGTACGTGCATAGCTTCAGCAGGTTCTGATCATACCGTGAAAATCTGGGATATAAGAGTGAACAAGTTACTCCAGCATTATCAAGGTAACAACTTCCAGAACAAATGAATTCAGTTGTATTCTCAATGGGCTCCTCTGGGAAACTCTTAAACTTGCAGACTAACCTCAGGGTGGCCTGACCCTCTTACTGAGAGTCATGGCTGCCTTTGAGCTGACGAGAGAACAGCAGCTCCCATCAACAGCATGGTCTGAGAAACTGGAGTTGATACCAGAGTGGAGAGGGAGGTAGAGGGAACTTAAAAATGATGCCAGGACTGTAAAAAAAAGAAGTTACTGAATGGATGGGAGAAATGGATGGAGATAGTCTCAGAGACACAGAGGAAGAACTGAGGGTTGCTAGTCGGGAGGGGGTGGGGATGAAGGAGAAGGGGAAGGGATGAGACAATACAAATAGGTAATTGTAATATGGCCGCAGGGATAGAAAAAGACAGTCCGAAGAATA